ACAAGCGTGGCCAGCAGGTCGAGGGAGGTGATTCCGCCCCTCTGCTCTGGTGAGACCCCCCCTGCAGTGCTGCATCCAGCTCTGGAGCCCTCAGCACAAGAAGGACATGGACCTGTTGGAGCAGGTCCAGAGGAGGCCACAAAAATTGATCAGGGGGGTGGAACGCCTCTCCTGTGAAGAAAGTCTGAGAGAGTTGGGGTTGTTCAGTCTGGGGAAGAGAAGGCTCTGGGGAGACCTTATTGCGGCCTTCCAGTACTTAAAGGGGGCTTATAACAAAGATGGCGGCAGACTTTTTAGCAGGGCCTGTTGCGACAGGACAAGGGGGAATGGTTTTAAACTAAAAGAGGGTAGATTTAGACCAGATATAAGGAAGAAATGTTTTACGATGAGATGAAACACCGGAGCAGGTTGCCCAGAGGGGTGGTAGGTGCCCCATCCCTGGAAACATTCAAGGTCAGGTTGGACGGGGCTCTGGGCAACCTGATCTAGTTGAAGATGTCCCTGCCCATGGCAGGGGTTGGACTAGATGACCTTTAAAGGTCCCTTCCAACCCGAACTGTTCTAGGATTCTACGATTCTATAAACATACTGGAGATGGCATATTAAGTTGACTTTTCCTATAGCTTCATAAGGCTAGGATTTTATAGACTGTGGATACAAATCAGGAAGTAATAAACAGAATATTCTCATACAATGTTTCCAGATTTTTGAGACTGCAAAATGAAAACTGAGTGCCTGAAGATCAGTAAAGACAAGGGATATATGAGGGTGTACAGAAGTAGTCAAAAATACCCACTGTTTTCCAGAACTGCAGACTGCTTTCAAAGCACGTCTCAAAAGACACTCAATGTGTAGCTAAGCAAAACACTGAAAAAAATTCATGAGAAAATCTTCTGTATCAAAGTCTTTATTGAAGTTGTATGCTTCAATATTTAAGTTTCATTCTTGACACTACCTAGGACACAGTTCTGCTCCTTCTTGCCATGGACAAAAAACAGATTTCTTTATTCTAAATTACACAGGCAAATAAAATTTTGGCTATTTTTTATTTGGTGATCATATTAGACAATTAGAAGGACATGGTCATGTGGAGCCTCAAGATAACTAGTAACTCATGATTTACATAGAGGCATAGAAATGCAAAGCTCATTTGCCTCTTTACATTCCTTAGACATGTTTTTGATAATTTAGATGAGTTCATCAGTGACCTTGGGAGGTGGCTGATGCTTTTCATGCTATAATACTCTTGTGGTGTTAAAGGATATTAAAGGACAAGAAAGTAAACCAAAGGTATACTTATATATGCATGGGCTAAATAACTCTGACAATTCAGGTGTGAATTAAAAGGCTCCAATTGTATGAAAGGATTATGATGACATCAAAAATCCCAAGCCTGAGTGGCTCATTATTTCCCCACAATCAAAAAATGCAATTAGACTTTAATTGCATTTTTCTTAAGAAAAAAAAGCCTTTAACAGCAATTACATACATTAAAATACCCTGCCTAGAATGCTACTGCAATTATAAAGGGCTAATCACTGTGACAATAAATAAAAAGCGTATCATACCACGTTACCATTTTATGACGCGAGAAATGAGGCACTGAAATTTCTGTAAGTTTGAAGGGAATTTCGCATATAAACTGTGGGGCTAACTCCAAAAAGCAAGCTAAACCTATCATGCCTTAACCTCAAAGAAGGTGTCCATAGGACTGATCGAGGTGTCTAAGTCATCCCTACTAGAGAAGATGTATCTCTTCTCCACATCTTGAAACTGGTGTCAGACAGCATGCGAAGACTGAGAAAGCAAAATAAAATACTGAAGACACAATGTAAGCTGTGGGGAGGCGAACTCGCATCTCTTTACGTGTGCTCTTTTGCTAAGAGTACGTATGCATCTCACAACAAATACGTGCATGCATCCAAGAATCTCTTATTTTTATGCAACAGTGTAATCGTTTTTGATGTTACATAAATCCTTTCCCCAAGATTTCTAGAAAACCAGTGGTCTCATCATTAAGTGACTAATGGAATCTTTCAAAAAATCTAGGTTATTTATTTTCCAGTAGCTAGCTATTCCTCCATGCTCCATTTACTGTCCTTTTCATTTCTGATGTATTCTGTTTCAATTAATGCACTTTCATTGCCACAAGACACAGACGATTGACTAACAAGCCAATTCACATTTGGAGGGAAAGGCCACAGATTAATAAAAGCTGAAAACTACAACCTACTTTGTAAGAAATGATTCAAATGTAATACACTGAAGCTACCTTCTATCACAAAGTGACCACTCATGCCAAAACAGTCTGCCAAAACAGGCAGACTTCTCCAAAAACACGCAACGGAGCTAGTACTGGGTAAAGAGATGAAAACTTACCAAGACTGGCACACAACATGGTCATGTAAGTCTCATTTCCTTAGGCAAAATACAGGATATGGGTCAGAAAACTTGAATTGTCTTAGGACTTTGACAATAAACTTTGTCTGGCAACGTTACAATTAACTTAAAATAAGCCAAAAATTTGTCAGACCAACTGCTTTTGTTTCTCATGGATGCAGACCAACTTTGTGTCATGATTATATTTTTAAGTAAAGTTCAAGTTTAACTTACATAAGCCCTATTTATTATTTTTTTAAGACCATAATTTATGACTGGAAATTTTGACCAGAGCAAAATTCTGAGTATTTAATGCAACTTATGTAGGCTGTCAACCTAAAACCCAACCTTTTATCTTTCGGTCATTTGTAACATTCCTAAGAAGCAGATGATTCTTGTATGTTTCTTCAACAACTAGTTTATCTTTCTGAAGTGATGGGTTACAATGAGGAATGAGGGTTCATAGAACTGTCTGCCTAGAAGCAGTTGATATTTAAGTTACTCAGTTGACAAATTATTGTTATATCTTTGTATGTGTGAAGACTTTTTTTCTCCTTCCCTCTTTTTTTCTTTTTTTCCTTATTTAGTAATCTTGGTAAACTGAGACAAAGCCAAGATAGTTCAAGTTCTCTCTTCAATGCAGCCTAACAGCATACCATCCATACGCAGGTAAGGATCATCTAGCCAACCAACACACACGTCAGGACGAGACACATCCCACACCGCGTCTCCCCGCTCCAGTAGTTAGGGTACATGAGCAAAAGAAGAGAGTATTGACAAGGAGGAGACAGGGGAGACATTACACAGGAAAACAAGGTTTCATTGGTTCTACTGCTCATGCCATAACTTGTCAGCTTGTTCTTTTAACTGAAAGCCAGATCTAATTCAGATCTAGAGATGACTATTACATGCTGATGTTACAGTTAAATCACTACTGTTTACACAGTGTACCTTCTAAAATAGTAAGCATGGATTTACCAAGGTAGTATGTTGCTAATTTATTAGCATATTATGCTTTTATATTATATTATAATATAATTATAATAATTATATTATTCAGCTGTGAATGTAATTTTCTTCTTATACAAGGTCTGATCAGGGAGATTCAGAATGTCCCTGGAGGATGCTGAGGACCCTCCACTGGCATCATCACAGGATGAGGTTTTGGGCTGTAATGGCTACAAGGGG